CCACGCTGGAACACCCGTTTCACTGCCCGCGTGTCCTCAAGGTGCCGTCCTATCTCAGCTACAAGTTCCTGGGCGAGCGCGACTGCGCGGCGCCCTGTGAGCCGGCGAGACCGGATGGCTCCATGTTCTTCTCGCAGGAGGAGACGCGTTTTGCGCGCCTCTGGATCCTCACCTGGTCGGTGCTGTGCTGTGCCTCCACTTTCTTCACGGTCACTACGTACCTGGTGGACATGCAGCGCTTCCGCTACCCCGAGCGGCCCATCATCTTTCTGTCCGGCTGCTACACTATGGTGTCGGTGGCCTACATCGCAGGTTTCGTGCTCCAGGAGCGCGTGGTGTGCAACGAGCGCTTCTCCGAGGACGGCTACCGCACGGTGGTGCAGGGCACCAAGAAGGAGGGCTGCACCATCCTCTTCATGATGCTCTACTTCTTCAGCATGGCCAGTTCCATCTGGTGGGTCATCCTGTCGCTCACCTGGTTCCTGGCGGCGGGCATGAAGTGGGGCCACGAGGCCATCGAGGCCAACTCGCAGTATTTTCACTTGGCCGCATGGGCCGTGCCGGCGGTCAAGACAATCACTATCCTGGCCATGGGCCAGATTGACGGCGACCTGCTGAGCGGCGTGTGCTTCGTGGGCCTCAATAGCCTGGACCCGCTGCGGGGTTTCGTGCTGGCGCCGCTCTTCGTGTACCTGTTCATAGGCACGTCCTTCCTCCTGGCCGGTTTCGTATCCCTCTTCCGCATCCGTACCATCATGAAGCATGACGGCACCAAGACCGAGAAGCTGGAGCGGCTCATGGTGCGCATCGGCGTCTTCTCGGTGCTCTACACGGTGCCCGCCACCATCGTCATCGCCTGCTACTTCTACGAGCAGGCCTTCCGAGAGCACTGGGAGCGCTCTTGGGTGAGCCAGCACTGCAAGAGCCTGGCCATCCCGTGCCCAGCGCACTACACGCCGCGCATGTCGCCCGACTTCACCGTCTACATGATCAAATACCTCATGACGCTCATCGTGGGCATCACGTCGGGCTTCTGGATCTGGTCCGGCAAGACGCTGCACTCGTGGAGGAAGTTCTATACACGTCTCACCAACAGCCGGCACGGCGAGACCACCGTGTGAGGGGGTGTCCCAGGGGCCGGGGCCACACCGCGCTTTCCTCCTCTCCGGGGGGCTCCTACAGACTCCTTATTTTATTTTTTTAAATAAAGAACAATCGAAACCATTTATTTTTTAGGTCGCTTTTTAAAGATAACTCTGCCCACCACCCCCACCAGGTTTGTAATTAAAACTGTAAATAGTCTTTGTAAATTTAATTATATATTTTCTATTTAAAAGAAAAAAAGAAGAGAAAAAAAAAGGAACAGCAATGGGCGCCAGGGCTGAGGACTGAAGGGAAGGGGAGTTGAAGGGGTTCTCGCCTTTCAAACACTACGCCGCACTTTGGTTCCGAGTTTTTGGTGATTTGGCAGGGCTGAGCCTGCTGGAAGAGGTTTGGCTAGTTTGTTACATTCAACTTCTAAAGCCAAATTGGTGAGCCTTCTCACTGAAGCTGGGTCTGGGGAAGCTGGTGGATTTTTTTTTTTTTTTAACAAGACTTGGATTCTTGTTTTATTTCCCTCCCCCCCTTTCTCTCCTCACTTGTCCTGTTTCCTTCACTAGATCTTTGGAACCCTCCCAACCGAGATGAAGACGTGGAAAAAAAAAAACCAACGGGTGGGGTGGTGGGGAGAGGGCGGAGAGCGTGTGTGGAATGGCCTCCACCCGCTGGCCCACTCCCCCGCAGGCAGGAAGATCTTTCTCCTCCTTAACTTTTCTTCTTTTCAACTTGATGCCCCAAGCCCTTGCAGTGAGCCCAAAGTGCTTTGTGAAGTGTGTTTTGAAACAAACCCCCCCCCCCAACACACATACAGTACCTTGAGTACCCATCCTGAACCCTTACATTTTTAGGGGGAGCATTAGCTCGCAAATGTTGGGGTTTTCGAGATGTCCTTGCATCTCTCCCGTAATTTCCCCAGCAGACAGTGCCTCAACCCCACTCTCTCAACCGAATATCTTCTCTAGCTTCAGGTTTGTGGGTGGTTTGGGTGTTATGTGTGGGTTTTTGTTGTTTAGGGTTATTTTTTTCTAAAAGCAATAAAAAATGGGTTGGGTTGGAGGGAGGGGACAGATGGGCTGAGATGGGCTGGTGGGATTTTTAGTTTTCTTTTGACAAAAGACTGGTTTCTTTTCAAACTTGTCCAGAAAGGGGGGAGGGAGGTGGGTATCTTTGCTTTGGAAGAAGGCTCTGGGCAGGCTCTTTGTGACTGTGGGGGTGGGGTTGAGTGTTTACATGACATTCTATATCACAAGATTGATAGAATGTTTATAACAGATGTTTCTTATCTTCCCCCTACCCCCCACAAATAAAAGTCAAGACTCTTTCTTAAAGTATCTTTGACACTGGTATGAGAATTGCAGTTTCCAATACACATCCTCTCCCTCAACTATTTGGATTATTTTATATTTTAGAATTTTAATTCTAAAGGATTGATTTGAGGACCAAGGGGGTGGGTGGGACAAGTATGCCACAGAACTCAATTTTTCACCATCTCCTGTTTCTTGATAATAGTGCAAATTAAAAGCTAATAATCATAATAATAAAGTGCATTTAATTATCTTCTAGCGATCTAGCCCTTTAATTGTATTTAACAGGGTTGTAACATTTTATTAGTTTAACCAAACCACACCTCCTCCTTCACTCTACCCACAACTACTCTGTTGGGGATGGGGTAGAAAAGAGGCTCCCTGCTCAGGATTTTGCTTTTTTAGCTAAATGCTGATGGGGAAAATGGTGCCTTACTACCCTTTGTTGAGTGTTTGGGACAAGGGAGAAAGTAAGTTAGAACCCCTACTTCCAAGTGTTAGTTTATGTTGGGGGAAGGGATCTGGAAATGTTTGGTGGTAATTGAAGTCGTATGTGGGGCTTTGTTTGGAATTGTATGAAGTCTGAGGATTTCAGCAGAGCCCCTTTCCCAAAATATATAACCTTCTCCCAAATCGTTTGTGCCAGTGACCAAAATCCTACGTTAAAACTAGCTTTTCCCCTAATGGCATATGTGAAGTTCCAACATAAGATTCCCTCAGCTATCAAAGAATTAAGTGGGTAGGGTGTCACCGGGCTGTAGCTCCATTTGTTGCCGGATTCTAAAGGAACCCCACAAGGCCTGCAGGAAAGAGTTAAATTACAAACAAATTGTTAGTGCCCCTCCTGGAAAGAATGGTGAAAGCCTGTGAATGTCGGGGGGGGGGGGGAT